CCCCCCCCCCCCCCCAAAAAAAAATTACTTAAAAAAATCAGCCTCCGAAGTCGTGGGGACCAGGCTTTGGTCGCTACAAGGAGCATCCGGTCCTCACAAGGCTGCATTTCCTGAGAAATCATCCCCACCAAGTAGCAGGAACAAGGACACACATACACACAATGAAGCATGTGTGCCCACAGGCCTCGATGACTCATCATTTCCCACCACCTCTCATCAAACAAACACATGAGGGAGACACACAGTCGTCAGGCAAGTGATGTCACTGTAGCCATGGAGACGATCAGAAAGAGCTGTGATTGGTCGAGGAGCAGACCTTGTTTACGTTGGCAGGATCTTCCTCACTTTTATCTCGCTCCATGTTTCTGCCACGGCAGCGAACAGCACACAACAACACAATCAACACACACACAGCCTCTCAAACAACACACACAATAAACTACACACACAAATGCATAAAGAAAACAAACGATACACATACAACTATAACACAACAAACAAAGCACGATCCCTGAGCACAGCACCTGTTGTTTAGATTATCACCCTCCACTGATGCAAAGGCGGGTGATAATGTTTTTGCTTCTCTGTGTATTCTTGAGCCAATTTGCGAGCAAAACTTTTAATGACTCACTGGACATAATTTAATGAAACTCACAGAAAGTAATCACTTGATGTAAATCTACAGTAACTAAAAACTAAAATTAGCAAAACTGTTGCTAAAAAAATAAATTTAGTGAAACAGAAAAATGTGCAGAAGTAGATGGTTCAAAGTTTCTTTCTTAAGTCTTCCTTTAGAAAAATATGCTTTGCAAAAAAAGTACCATTAAAAATCAACTACAAGAACAGGAGAACAATTGTGCTGAATCAGCATTCACGCAAAAATGTTTATCCTGAACTATATCAAACAGTGTTGTTTTGAACGAGTTTACTCTGGTACTTTTACAGATGTGTTAATGTAGTTTTGAAATGATTATGTATGTGAAAATTTTGATCTCATGACTGAATGTAAAGGAACATTTTATAAATGTGAAATAAGGTCATTTTGACTGAACATAAGTTTTGACTTCTAAACTGTGCAGCTACAGGGTATTGACTTTGTGGTTGGTCCACGCCTAGCTCAAGTGCACTTCCTGGAAGCTGATTGTCTCATTTGTCCAAATTTATGTAGCTCATGTAGCTCCCATTTTACTTTGGCTATATCTTCTCTGGACTCTCTGGACTGTGTTGAACCTGCTATAGCATTTAATAAACTGCCACATAGGACAAATCTGCTGTTTAACTCCTTGGTCCTCCATCTTATTTTTCTTTTGTCTGTTCACTGTTCAGGGGTCACCACAGTAGGTCATCCTCTTCCATCCCACTCTATCCACTGCATCCTCTTTCCTGACTCATTTTCCTCCATGTCCTCTTGAACTGCATCCACATAATTCCTTTTTGACCTTTCTCTTTATATTCCTGGCAACTGCATTTCTAACATCCTTCTACTGATATACCCAATGCCCGTCCCCTGGGCATGTCCAAACAATCTCAGTCTGACCTCTCTAAATTTACCTCCCAGTTGTTCAAACCTGTACTGTACATCTGATGATCTAACTCCAAATCTAGTCATGTCATGTCACTCCCAAGTAGAGCCTCCACATCTTCAGCTCTGCCACTTCCAGTTCTGTCTACAGTCTTTTTGTCCATTGTCTCTGTCTCCAAACCATACATCATAGCTGGTCTCACTACTCTCTGGTAAACCTTTCCTTTGACCTTTGTTGCCACCCTTTTGTCACAAATCAGTTCTGAAATTTTTCTTCATCCACTCCATCCTGACAGGCTCTCTTCTTCACCATCTTACCACACTCCCTGGTTTCCTGGACAGTTGATCCTAAGTACTTGAAATCCTGCACCTTGGTGACCTCTGCTCCTTGTATCACAATGTCATCTGCAAACATCATAGCCCATGGGGATTCCTGCCTTACCTCATCTGTTAATGTCCATCACCCGAGCAAACAAGAAGAGGCTCAGGACCTCTTCCTGATGCTGTCTGTTACTGCTATAGTACATCTCACCATTGTTCATTATCCTGCTGTCTCTTCAGTCAGTACAGATCCTTCATACCTGTTGTGCAACTCTTCATACATACAGTAAACTTTGTTGTCACTTCTTCTTTGCCCTGAATCACCTATTATTCCAATATCTTCTCTTCAGTCTTTTAACTGTCCATTTCTTCTCAGCTACACTGTTCCTTGTTGTGGCTTCCTGTATTCCACCATTCCACCAACAGGTTTCCTTGTCATCTTTTCTCTGTCCTGATGACACACCAAGAACTTGCCTCTCCAATCCCTGTTGCTGTAACTCAGTCATTTGGAAAAATTTTCTTACCATCCCCAGCTCAGCGCTGAACTCTTTACAACATTCTTTCTTCCTTAACTTCCACCGTTTGATCTACTCTCTGCCTTCACTTTTTTCCTCTTATTCATCACAAGTTTTCCAACACACAACCATACAACGCCGTCTAGCCACACTCGCCCCTGCCACAACTTTACAGTCAATCCCTCTCAGATTACATCCTTTACACAGAATGTAGTCTACCTGCTTACTCTCTTTTAGGCCACCATATGTTCCTTGCTCTTTTGGAAACAGGTGTTTGCTCCATCCATCCATCCATCCATCCATCCATCCATCTTTACCCATTTCTTCCTTTCTGGGTCATGGGGGTCACTGGTGCCCATGTCCAGTAGTCACTGTGTGAGGGCCGAGGTACACCCTAAACAGGTCACAATTCCATCACAGGGAGAGACCATGCAAACTCTACCTAGAAAGATCCCAGGCCGGGATTCGATCGGCTGGGGCAACAGCTCTACCAACTAAGACAATGTGCCACCCCCATTTCCATCCTCTTGGCAAAATCTACCCCACCTGTCTTTCATGACTCCTTTCCTTGACACAAAACCTGACCATCATATGTCATATCCTCTGTTTCCTTTACCAACTTGTCAGCTGTGCTCCAATGGCCACTCTCTCCTCTCTGGTAATGCGCTCTCTCACTTCATTTAGGTCCTTCCAGAATTGCTCTGTCTCCTCTACCTCACGTCTAACCTGGCACTAGTTTCACCTCTACTACATTCCTTCCAAACTCCTCCTTCAAGGTTATCCCTACTTATTTCTCATTCCTGTCCACACCGTGGTAAAACAACTTAAAGCCTACCCCATTCCTGCAAAATGTGCTGCCCTTCCATTTGATTTTGAAACACTTCACAAGTTCAAGCCATTTATGTTCAAACGTTGCTACCTTCAGTTTTACACACTTGACTTTTCTCCCTGTCCCCTGGCACCTTTCCCTTCTCAAATAACAGTAGTAGCACAATTTCCACCAGCACCCTGGTTGCCAACAGCACTGGTGGTGGCAGTTGTTGTTAACACAGGTCTTGACTGATCTGATATGGTGTCATTCAGATGAAGTTGCATGTTTGTTTTGGCAAAGGTGTTTTATGCCGTATCCCCTTGTTGAAGCAACCCTTACCATTGACCTGGTTTTTAGAGATACAGTGGCAATGAGTCCTTAGTGGCTGGTTTCTTGATTCCAAAGTTCACCATTATTTCCAAATATCCACATCAGTCCACACACAATGTATGATGAACACAGCTCCTTTACCTGTTGATTTTATTCAACAAATTTGAGTGCAAATACTGTATGTCAAACATCAAAAATGCCGTACTTCTCCATCCCAAGCAGCTCTTCCATGGATGTAGCCATTTTCTGTCACTTTAGCTATGTTTATAGGTAAACAAAGACATGGTAATTGGAAGACAGTCACTAGCGTTGCTTGCAAATCTTTGATTTAAGGACACATTAATGAATAAAACATTGTTCAGATAGTTTCTCATGTGATTGCTTTAAAGGTTTTCATGTCTTTACAGTAAGTAGCTTGAACACAAATGTTTGATTTTTGTAATATTTCATCAGCTGGTTCCTGAGAGCAGGAAATCTGTCTTTTAAAAAAGAGACTATGTGTAAAAATGCAACAACTCACCGTTGCTGCACAGCTGATCTCTGGAACAAAGTTTCTTCTCAAACAAACAACCTGCAACAATAAAATTAAATGAAATTTAAAAAAACAAAAAAAAACAAACATGAGCTAAACTGATTCTTCAGACAAAACAAGAGAAAGACCAAACAATTTGCAAAACTTAAACTGCTGAAGAAGCTGAAACTAAACCATAACATTTAAAACTAACAGAACAGCTAGAATTAGCAAAACAGTAACTAAAAGATAAAATACCACAACTACGTCACTCCATCACCACTGCAAAATGACTTTGGAGGAATTTCAATTATTCAGTCTGACTAATAACCTTTGTGCCTTCATTTGATGATGAATGAGAGCTGAACCAACTAAAAATGCATAAAATATGTTGTTAAAGTCAGACCAAAAATGTGCATCTTATTATCTTCTGACCCAGGCCTCCTTTGCAAAAGAGATCTGTGATCTCAAGGGGATTTGCCTGGAAAGACAAAGGTTAATAAATAAATAAAACAAACCAAAGAGTGACTAAGATGAGCGGAAAACAAAAACTGTTGCTAAAAGTAGCAGCACGGATAAAATTGACAAATAGTTATTCTTCTTTTCACTTCTAAATAGCCTTTTGCTACTTTTAGCTTTCTACTGTACAGGTATACCTCTTTTAGGTTTTAGCTAGGCTTTTTCTACTTTCATTTCTCAGCTAAACTTTTGCAACCTCATGCTTTAAACTAGCCCTTTGCTACTTGTAGCTTCTAGGAAGCCTGGCATTTATTTAAGGATTTCCAATATGATCAAACAAACAGCTGAAATGTCCATCCATCCATCTTCTGTACACGCTTCTTCCTTTTCAGGGTCGCGTGGGTCACTGATGCCCATATCCAGCAGTCACAGTGCGAGGGGCGGGGCACACCCTGGACAGGTCGCAAGTCCATCACAGTTGAAATGTGTTGCAGACTTATTGACAAAACTGTTTTAAATAACCTTTTACTGCTCTGACCTCTCGTTAATCTGTGATTACCTACTTAGTAATATTTAATTAGATTAGGCCTGTCGTGATAGTCAATAAATCAATTAATTGCACGATAAGTTATTTTGAGGTAGGTAAAAAAAATGAGGACGATAAGTTTCATTTTCCTGCTTGTTTGTTTACTTCCTCTCTCCCTCTCTGTGCTCCGCTACACAGGGGCTCAGCTGACTCCTCCCCTCCTGTTTTCTTAGTGTGGGGTGGAGTGAACTCTCGCGTTAGCGTGAGAGCTCGTAGCAATAACAAACTAAAGAAACGTTTCAAAGCAGAACGCGGCTGCTGCAGTGTCGGAGCAATTGCAGAGCCTGAAATCCATTGGGGGGAGACACAGACAGAGAGAGAGAGAGGAGGAGAAGGGGTGGGGGCTGAAACTCCCCCAGACCCGCGACAAACTCGTCAAGACTTTACCTGTAGCTCCCAAAAATAACAGGAAACTTAAACACACCATCTGTGTTTTAACAAAACACCAAAAAACCTGTAGCTGTCCCAACAACTTATGAGGAAACCTCTGAACTGACTGATTTCCTCCCCCGCAGCGCTCTGACTGTCTCCTCACTGACTGTCCCCTCACACACACACATTGACACGTTTGTTCTTCTATCCTCATGGGGACTTTGCATTGACTTTCATTCATTTACCAGTATTT